GAGTAGTCGACGACGCGAAGGGCAGAGCGTGCTGTCGAGTCTTGGTGGCTGTGCTCCGGTTTGAACAAGTGGGCTTGCTTGATCATCTGGACGACAGCGACGAATTCCGCCAGGCTCACCATCCCGTCCCCGTCCGCATCGACCTTTCGCGTGAATTGGCCAAAGTCCATCCCGGGCGGCGGCGTGATGCCGAGCGCAAACAAACCTTTCTCAAACTCGTCGTAGTTGACCCCTGCCGACGCTACAACGCCGCTCTCAGTTTGAAACCAGCAGCAGCGGAGGAAGAGTACCGCGGGGGTTGAAGTGCTGGTACATGCGGCGCAAGCGCCCCGTCGTAACGTCATAGTACGGGTCGAGGAGCACCTTGAGCTCTTCGGCCTCGACATCGTCGTCGTACGTGCGGGAGGGGGATTCGATCGTGCCCTTGACAGACCGATGCCTGGTCAACACGTGGCCATAGTTCCACTCGAGGTTCTGCGCTTCGTCCACCGTGAGCTGGGGCACGAGCTTGGCAGCGTCCCACACTTCGGACGACCCTGTTTTGTTAGAGTGACCTCCTGGGACAGGACAAAACACGCGCGTCGGCGGCGTTTGGGACGCGCCTTCCGACGGTTTGTTCGACGGCGACCCAAGGGCGATGTAGTTGGAGTGGGGGCGCATCATGCGCAAGCGTATCCCGTGCTCTCGAAGTTGAATGCGCCAACATCCGCGGCGAACGGCCACACGTTCCAATATCGAACGAAACGCAGTCGTCGTTTCGGCAGTCGGTCGCTCGTCGGTCTGATAGACGTGCTGGCGGTCCTTCGTTGACTCGGCTTGGAAGAGTCGCGAGGGGTGGCATGACCCAGGAATTCCGGTGTGCCCTCCTGCGGTCTCGGCAGTCCCGGCATTCCCAGCCGACGTTGGTCGAAATATCCCTTGGAAACAATATTTCGTACACACGAATATTTCCACATAAAGGGCAAAAAATATATTTGTGTCTCGTGGTGTTCAATAAATATTTCATACCTTCGCACTATTACAGAAAAATATTTCTTCGTCGTGATAAAGAATTGTCAGTTCCGACATGCGATGGATTGTGCCGAGGGTTCAACTTGAGGACGACCGAGGGTCCGGCAGTCGGAGCGGTGGCGCTCGAAGTACAAAGAATGTGGATGGGAATGCGGCACGCGATGGCGATGCCATTCGACCGGTGCGAAGACAGAGCGACCGTACGGCAGAGAGGTGTACGTCAAGCGCGACGTGGTTGCACCAACGTCGGGACGATCAAGAATCGAACGAACAAGCTCATGCGTGGTCATGCTGAAGGGTTATCGATGGGATGTGCGGAGCAACATCTACCACGTCGCGACTAGATCCACCCCTTGACGAACTTGAGAAATGCGAGAAGCCCCGTGATGATCGTGATGAGGACGACCCACCATGCAACATACCCGTACTCCCAATGGAGTTCCGGCATGTTGTCAAAGTTCATGCCGTAGATACCCGTCATGAACGTTCCCGGCAAGAAGCACGCGGCGATAACAGACATGGCGTACATGACGTCGGCTTGGGCCTTGGCACTGATCCGTTTCTGTTCTTCGACGAGCGCCGCCAACGTCTGCTGGTGTTCGCGCAGTTCGGCCGCCATTTGTTTCAAGTGATCTTTGACGTCTCGGAGGTAATTTTTCACTTCGCCCTGCATCCACGTGAGCGGCGGCCGCGCCATCACAACGTCAAGACACACGTACCCTGTTGAACTCGTCCTGGTCGAGCAACTGGTCCTGTACCAAGTCAAGCAGCGGCCGCACTGTTTTTTCAATCGCAATCAATTGCTTCTTGGCGCGGCTAAAGCGCTTGGTATCGAACTTGGTGCCTTCGACGCGCAAGAGCTGGCCTTGAAAGTCAAATTTGGCCTCGAACACTTCGACGAGCGGCATCATTTCCTCGACGACTGCATTCAGCAGCGACACAACGAGAAAGTTGCCGTCGTGGCTGCGCAATTTGCTGTACGACTTGGCCATGTTGTGGTCAAATACGAGATCCCACAGCGGAAATGCGGACGACGGCGCGTCCGTCGCGCTGGACGACGGCGTGTCGATTTCCTCTTGGACACTCAGGATGTTTCCGTCTTTGGTCAAAAACACGCAGAGCTGCTCGGGCTCGCGCATCATGACCTTGAGCTCGTTCAGCTTGGCAGCAAGCACGTCCTTTGTCGGCGATTGCTGCTTGGTTGGGGTACCGTCGTCCTTGAGCAGGGCCTGGCGCTTGTTGAAAACGTCGCGGCGGTGCTCGGCAATGCACTCTTGAATGTGCCGTGCTTTGTCGGCATGGAGCGGTCGAAGCACGGGCAGAACCTTTCGTGCATGGTCAGACACACCAAAGGGAGCGCGATGGACGTACCAAGAACGAGTGGTCATCGTAGTGCTCGAATTTACACCGGATCTTGTCGTTCTGGTTCAAGCAGTCCTCGAGTGCGAGCGGATGGAGCTGGTACTTGATGGCGAGGCGGCGCAAGTTGAGGTCATCGGCGCGCTTGAATCCCGCGAGATGCACCCACCGGACTTTGGCCCATTGTGGCTTTGTCGAGAACATGAACGACTGGAGCTTCGTGACAGGGTTGACGGCGTGGAGATTCGTCGGCGAGTAGTCGACGACGCGAAGGACGTGCTCATCGGGTGCTTGTGCGTGCTCTGGCTTGAACAAATGGGCTTGCTTAATCATTTGGACCACATGGATGAATTCGCCGACGCTGATGGAGCCGTCGCCATTCGTGTCGACTTTGCGAACGAAATCGCGGAAGCTCGAGCCGGCGGGAACACTGATGCCCAATGCCAGCAACCCGTGCTGAAACTCGTCGTACGTGACGGTCTCGCTGCCTAGAGCGTTGTCATGGTCATGATCGTGCAGACAGGACGGAGTAAGACGTGTACCTTTGGGACTGAAATGCTGAAAGAGTCGGCGCAACCGCCCTGTCGTGACATCGTAGAAGGGGTCCAAGAGCACACTGAGATCTTCCTTGGTCTCGCCGTCGCCAAACTCGGAGCTCATGCGAATTGAATGCGACACGTTGTTCTTGGACTCGTTGCGTGCCGACATGGCGCGGCTCGGTCGCTGCACGTCTTTTTTGGTCAAGTTGGAAAAGTCCCATTCCATGTGCTGCGCATCTTGGTACGTGAACCGAGGCAATGCCCCGGCCGGTACCCACGCTTCTTCTGGGATCGGGTCCACCGAGATTCGCACCACGCCGCCAGGCGCCGTTGTCGGGACGGGAACTGGAGCAGGTACCGCCTGCACGACATCTTCCGCTGTTGCGGATGTGGAAGGAGTCCCCAGCGCCGCATAAGGTGCCGCCACGGGCTCACCTTCACCGTCGCGGCCGCCGCTGCTCGACATGATCGTGCGACTGCAATCGCGAGAATGGAGGTGTCGACCATACTCAAGTCAAGTGACAACCACGTGTCGTCGTCGTGACGTGTGACTTCATGTTTGTATGGAAGTGATGCCATTGGTCATGATATGATGCACTCTGCTGTTGTCGACGGGAGGGACGGCCCACCGCTCTTGCGTTAGGAATTCTTATTGCGTGCGTGGACTGTGGGAACGACGGGTGCATGTCCTGGCCTCAAGGCCCGCACACGTCGTTCAATCGCAATCGAATCTAGACGGTTGGACGTCACGTGCTAGTTCATTGACAAGGAGCTGGTGGTTCCAGCGTTCACCGAGTAGATGCGGATCGTGGGCATCGTCTCACCTGCAACCGAGGACTGTATACGTCATTGGATGAATTGGAGATGTCACCAAGTAGGCGGGAAGACATGTCTTATAAATTGCGATACAGTTTGCAGCGACGGCATGCCGACCTCGGCTCGTGGAGAGCTTTTCAAGCACAGCAGCCTGACACAACGGATGCCGCCGCACGTGTGCTTGTGCAAGGGACTCTGAGGCACAACGCAAGCGCGCCGCGCCAACACCATGGGTTCGCTCGTCGAAAACGTTGGGATGGTAGGCAGCTGGTCACACGAACATATCGAAGAGCATATGCAATATGCACAGTGGAATACGAGCAACGGCGTGAGAAATGTAGCATATTTGTTTCGATTTTCCGTTCTGACATGGGCCATTGCACACAAATTACTGCCGCACTGGCTGGAGGCAGCGCGGAACATTCCGTCGACGGGTCCATCGGTCGTCCTCCGCCGCGCAGTTCCCGACCGATCTATCGTCATGCAGCGCAACACAGAAAGCTTGGACGAGTCCTCGGACCCTCTCCTTGCGTCGCCACCTCCGGCCCCGCTGCCACAGTCTGCCATGCACGCTCCCGACCTCCACTTGACCGAGACATGGGTCCAAGCATCGGGACTCCCGCGCTTCACGATGCGCGATGCACAGAACATGGAGTGGGATTATTCAAAAGTGACGTGGAGCGATGCAGCGAGCATGGCGCGCAACAACAACGGGAGGAGGCGGTCGTCGTTGGCGGTTTGTTCCGAGTTTGGCGACGCCGAGCAGCCCGAGAAGAAGGAAGACATCCGTGTGCTCCTCGATCCGTTCTACGACGTCACGACCGGTCGGTTGCGTCGACTCTTTCACCACTTTAGCCCCAACGGTACGGCCGTTTGCGTGCTCTTTCGTCGTGACGTTGTTGCCAGGCTCGGACGTTGTCAAGTACGACGACTTCCAGCGAGGGTTGCACGCCCTCGGGATCAGCGTCCCGAGCGGCGAGAGCTTTGCTGACTTTGTCGCCAAAGTCGATACGAACGGCGACGGCCTGGTAAGCGTCGACGAGTTCGTCAAGGTGGTCCAGATGATCAAGCAAGCGCACTTGTTCAAGCCCGAGCACGCGTCGACGACGTCGCTTGCACGAGACGAAGACGAGCACGTCCTTCGCGTTGTCGACTACTCGCCGACGAGTCTTCGCGTGGTCGACCCTGTCACAAAGCTCCAGGAGTTCATGCTGTCGTCCAAGCCCGACTGGGCCACTGTCCGGTGGGTGCATCTCGCTGGTTTCCACCGCGCCGACGACCTCAACTTGCGCCGCCTCGCTATCAAGTACCAGCTCCATCCGCTCGCGCTCGAGGACTGCTTGAATCCGAACGACAAGATCCGGTGTAAGTTCGAGCACTACGATGACCACTCGTTCTTGGTACAGTGTTGGATGGCCGACTGCGGCGTCTCCCGCTCACCATAAAACGTGGCAGGTTGTGCCCGTGCTGCGGGCGCTGAGCGCCGCCAAGTCGGACCTGGTGGCCAACGTGTTGGCCGACCGCCGCGACGCGATCGCGGCGAAGAAGCTCAAGCTATACGCGACCGACCGAGATGCGGCCATGTTGCGGCCATCGGCCACGCCGTCGGCTTCCTCTGTCCGCGCGGCGAACCAAGCCAAGGCGACTGCGCTCTCCGCCACCCTCGATGCGCTCGACAACTTGTTGCATGCGCCGCAACAGATCAGCGTGTTTGTGTGCAAGGACCAGCGCACGGTGGTGAGTGTCCAGGACGGTGCTGACACGATCGACGGGACGGCGTTGCCGCTGTGGGACGTCGTATTCGACCAGACGATGGCCAAATCGTACTCCAAGGTCCGCAACCACTCGGCGCCGTTCCTCGTCGTGTCGATCCTGAACGCTGTCGTTGACGACATGATGCCGCTCGTTGCTGTCATGGAGCCGACGCTCAAGATGCTCGGGAAGCTCGTGCGGCTGGAGCAGACCAAGTTCGACCCGGCGCGCCTCGCGCGGGCCAAGAAGCAGCTCATCGCGATGGAAAAAGTCACGCGGCCGATCCTGGATCTTGTGACCGATCAGCTCTTTGACCACGCCGAGTTCAACCAGGTGCGAGCGATCGCCGTCAACGATCGTGGTGTCTCACCGACGGGGCGCAGGGCGAAGTGAAAAAGTACCTTCGCGACGTTCGGGACCACGTTCGCCAAATGGCCATGGACCTGCGCGACCATCAGCAGGCGCTCGCGGCGCTGGTCGACGACGACAAGGAGCGCCGCGCCAAGACCCAAGAAGACGTCATGTACTACATCACGGTCGTCGCGGCATGCTTTTTGCCGGCGACTTTCATGTCGGGCATCTACGGCATGAACTTTGACGGGACCATGCCAGAACTCACGTCGGAGTACGGGTACTTGACGTGGTGGATCGTTCTCGTTGCGTTTGTCCTGGTCATGATGGCGTACGTACGGGTGTGGAAGCAGTGGATGTAGAAAAGTCGCCGAAACACGGTTGCGCTGCGCGCGCGGTGTTGTTTTGTTGCCGGTGGCCATCCGCCTGCATGCATGTGCGCGATCGAAACATGAACGCGATGAAGTGGCCGATGAAACGACGGAGGAATCGACTCGACTCGACGTGTGTGTCGATGAGCGTGCTGTACATCGTGTGCTGCGACTCACGAATGGCATCGATTAATCCTTGGTCGGGTCTGGCACGATGTCGTCGAGCTTGGCGAGCGCTTGCGGCTGCATGCGTGTGAGTGTTTGGAACTCGACAAACGCTGCCTGGAGCTCGCCGACGACTTGGAGGATGGTGTCGGCCTTGATGTTGACCTTGTCGAGGAAATCCGCCGTGTCGTAGCATGCATCTTTGACCGCCAGGAACACGACAGCGATCGCGACAAGGAACGGCGGCCGTAGGAGGATGATGTGGGTGCGGTACGCAAACAAGCACAGGTCCCTATTCTCGCATGAATATCCGTTGTGGCCGCCGCGAGCGGACGCACCACGCCGTCTTGAAGCTGTGCTCGTGCATCGGGCATGCTTCTTCGATCTCTTCAAACACCTTGACGAGGGTGCTGAACGGGTGGTGGATTACGAGGTCGTACTGCGTCGCCTCGATCAAGTAAAACTCGCACTCGATCATGTCCTTCTCAGTAAAGTCGTACATGGTTTCCTTGTCTTCGGGGATTTCTGCAATGAAAACACACACCGACGTGGTGGTGTGACGATGGAATGACGAGATGGCGTACTTGTTGTGAGCTCGTGGAGAGGTGTTGTGATCTCGGGCAACCGCACGGGAAACTCTTCGATCTTTGTGGCCAGCACCATCGCGGTCCCGACGACCAAACGTGGGTCGAAATCGACAAAGCTTTGGCTGAAACAACCACGGTGACATGAGCAAGAACGCCTTTCGTGGACACGATGGGACGACGCGGCGGCCTTACGTGAGGTAGAACCGCTTGTACAGGACGATCGCAGTGCAAATGATGATTTGGTTGACGTGGATTCGTGCGCCAAGCTCCTCGATCACTGTCACGATGTCAAGACGATGCAACCCAAACGTGGCGTACGTGAAATCATCGCGAGGTGGATGCTGTCGACTTCGGCCAGCGACAACGATGTGTCCTTTGGGTTGATATGCTTGAGATCTTCCAGGCGGAGGTTCTTCATCCAGTGCAAACTACACAGGTTGTCATGCTTTCTCCCGGACATCAAGCCATCGCGAGGCCGTACTAGTGCGTCGACTGCCAGAAGTTGTGCGCCATGTCGCCGTGGCCGCGGGGAATGATCCGGATACTCATGGCGAGCTTTATCCGGATGTTCGTTCTCACAATGGCCGACACGGACGGAAGCGCCGGCGACGGCGCGGACGGAGTGAAGGACGGCAACGGACGCCCCGGCGGCCCTGAGAAAGGTAGATGCGACGAGCACACTCGACGCGCGTTGAACGCGGCTTCCTTTCCCTGTAGTCACGATTCAGTTCACCGCGGTGGGTGGAGCGCCGATCATGAAGCGCAGCAAGTTTACTGTGAACGGCGGCGACCCCCTCAGTCATGTACGTACATCTTCGCTCAAACTCTCTTGGAAAAGGCACGCGGAGTTGGTGCTGCAGGTGTATATCTTTCTCCGCAAACAACTTCGCCTCAAGGACGACGATGCACTGGTGCGTGTGCCGTTTGTCCACACAGATGTCTCTCAATATAGCGATCGCACTGCATCTAGTTTGTCTACTGCAACAACTCGTTCGCTCCCACACCCGACCAGCGCATGCACGAGCTCTACGAGGTGCCTCCTCGCATCGTTCTTGTTCTCATGCCATGGCCTTAGTGCTTTCACATCAACGGTGTGCTCGTGCTCAACTACAGTCGGTCGCAAGCTTGGGGGTAATGGCCATCCCATAAGCCCATCTTAAGGTATTCGACTGAATTGCTGGTCAGCTGTCTCGCATGAGCGCTTCGACTTGGGCTCGCGCCGCGCGGTGTTTGAGTTGCAGTTGCTGGAGCTCGGTCATGACGCTTGTAGCTCCTGCTCCGTCGTCTATCGCGCCTCCTTCCCTCTCAACGTCGTTGTCAACGTCGACAGCGCGTCCCTTCCGCACCGGCGCAGCCTTGACGGGCACAGGGCTCGGCATCTTGCGGATTTTGGGCTTGGGCACCTTTTGCTTGGCGAATGCAAGCGCCTTGTCCCGCGTCGACAGCGCCTTCGGTGCAGCCTTGTCGTCCGGCGCCGCCTTTTTCGGAATCGCCTGGTTGATTTGACGGAGATTTTTCGAGAACTCTTTGATGCGCTCTTGGTTGGCTCGCTTCTCCACGAGCTCCGACGAATTCAAGTCGGGCTGGAGTTTTCCCAGCTCGTAGTACTTGTCGTGCTTCTCCTGGCGGTACTCGGTTAGCGTGCATGGCTCGTACGCCACCGGGCGCGCCTTCTTGCTGAACGCAAGCTGGTCTTCGTTCGTCGCCAGTTGCTTTGGTTGATCGTTGCTGCCCCGGACAGCGCTGTCATCGGCATGGGGCGGCTTCGCTGGCTTGACGGGAGTCGAGAAGGTCTTCTTGGGCGACGGTGCGTGTGGCAGTGGTTGGCTTTTTCGAGGAGAAGGTTGCTTAGCGAGTGGCTGAGGTTGCTGTGCAACAACCTGATGAGGTTTGAAGGACGTTTTGACGACGTGTGGACCGTCGTGGTCATCGTTGTCTCGGCCGTCGTCGTCAAAAGCAGGAGGATGGTGGTCCCGGTTGTTGTCTGGTTGACGGAGGAGGAGCTGCGCTGGCTGTGGCTTCTTCCGCATCGGACCGCTCCGGACTTCCTCGACGCCGTCCGCATGGCGAAGTGTGCCGTGCATGGTCACAGTCGAGATCTTGTTTTCAAATCGCGCCAGAAAGCTCATGTCGAGGTCTCCGCGACCGGCGTCGGATTCACGTCCGTGTCTCGAGGGATCCAGGCGAGTTATATATAGCCGGCCGGCACGGAGCTTTCGTTGTATCCGTGCAAGTCGTTTGCATGAGGGTAGCTACTCGAGCGATGCCTCGCGCGCTTCGTATGCCAGCTCGCCGCTCCTTCATCCCATGAACCGCCGCCGCCGCCGGCAATTCCAAGTTGAAGTGACCACAGAGCCTTTGACATTTTATATTCTGAAGGATTCACTGGAGTGTATTTTTTTGTCGATTCGGCAAAAGTAAGAGTGGAACTCAACGCGGGATGCGAATAAAAATACGTGTCGACGGGGACTTGAAAAGACAAGATATTCATTTATAGAGGCTCTCTGCCCCCTGTGAGCTCCTCAGTGCGACTTCGGCGAGGACGATCATGGGCGGCGATGCAGTCAGCTTGGCCGTGAGCATCTCGCCGTCGCCGCCGCCAAAGCGCGTCCAGTTCGATTTGGAAGGTTCGTGGCCGCGTCACGTTATCGTCCAGTTGTTCATGCTTCGCTGTAGACGAAGCCCGACACTTCCAACCGACTCATACAGTGTGTACGCCGCGCCTCCGCACGAATGGTCTCAAGTACCGCGCGCCCGACGCCCGCGTGGACGTGAGTGAAACACTCCCGCCTCCAAGCAGCGTAGCCAAGCCCAACTACGACGACTCGTTGCGTCGTGTGTCTGTCGTGTTGTACCAGCACATTCGCCGGTGCGAAAAGCGCCTGCGCGAATCCCGAGGCGGCGGCGCCGGCATCGTGCCGCCGGGTGGTTTCCATGGTATACATCGTGTTCGTCGTCGACGTGGTGTGGTCATCGATCTCTAGGTCTGTTTCACTCGACGAGTGCTCCCGCCGCCAGCACCAACGCAGTGGCGGACTCGATTGTCCAGGGCGGCGACGGATCTGCCGACGACAACGACCCAGTGCACGACGAGCCGCCGTTCGATTCGTCGACGGTGCTCAATGGCCAAACCGTGCTGTCGAATCTCGGCGTGTCCCGCGACCGCGTCTTTGACGAAGAGCATTTTGTGACGCCGCAGTACACGTACCAGTTCGTGCGGCTCCCGATGCTGCATCCGCTCACGTACTACAAGATGGACAAAGTGTCATGCAAGACGCACATCCCGTCCGTGGACGAGATCTTCCGCTTTTGCAAGAACCTGTTCAACCGCGCGCAGCTGAGCGCGGAATGCACGATCGTGTGCCTCATCTACATTGAGCGGCTCATGGAGCGGGCGTCGATTCCGTTGCTCGGGTCGAGCTGGAAGCCGATTGTGCTGTGCGGGCTCCTTCTCGCGTCCAAGGTGCATTTCGTCGATCGTACGTTGCGCATGGCTGACGGCGCTGCACGCAGGTGTGGCAAGATTTGAGCTCGTGGAATGTTGAGATCTCGAACGTCTTTCCGCAGTTTCCGCTGCACAGCATCAACCGCCTCGAGCGGCTCTTTTTGCACTACATTCAGTGGGACTTGTACATTTCAGGGTCGGTCTATGCCAAGTATTACTTTGCGCTGCGCAGCTTGACCGAGAAGAAGGACTTTCGGCGGCGGTACAACTACACGATCAAGATCGACCCGCCCAATTCAAAGCGCCTCGAGGAACGCAGTGCCGCCGTCAAGAACGAGCTCTACTCGCGCAGTGTCTAACACGTGATTACTGTCGTTGGATGATGCGCCGCCGCCGCACACGAGCCTCAGACGACGCTGTCGTTGTGGGCCGAACAACAGGTCCACCCCCACGTGTGCGCGACATCTGCTCGCCAACACCCTCTCGACCGCCGCCCACGAATGCACACACTCGGCAGGATGCACGCATGGATGCTCCCTTGTCTTGGTGACGTGCGTCCTCGCGCACGTGCTCAACGTCCGCGTCGACGCAATGCAGTCGTAGCCAAGTCGACATGACTTGTCGGACGAACGGAGGCGGAGTCGTCTCGAACGTCGGTAGCCCATCGCTCCGCTCGCTCTGTCGTGCCTGCGTCATCGTCTCGATCGTTGGCCAAGCCAGGACGCCATCCCTTTGGTGCTGCCTGCGACGCCGATCGACAGGTCACGCAACCTCCGTGCACGTCGCCGTGTTGGTCCGCCACGTCGCGAAGCACCTCGTCGCGGCCATGACGAATGCCATGCTGTCAACACAAGGCGCAGGCAGCGCCAAGTGGGGTAAGCCGCGACTCGACCCTTTAAATCGGTCTCCTCCTGGCTGGACGACGCCTGCCGCGCTCCACGTCCCTGGTGATTGTGGCCACCGACGAGCGATCGAAAACGCCCGCAATCGTCGTGGAAAACCTCTATATATTGATATGTGTCGAGATTGGATACCCAGTCGCGCCGATCGGTGGTCGTTCCGCACGTGGCTAAAGCGAGCGCTTGAGATTCCCAGTCGTCTACGTCTCCATGGCACATCTTGTCGAGGGTGGCCGTGCCACCAGCACGTGCTGGTGGCACGGAGTCGGCAACTCGATTGCCTTTCTGAATGGAAGAACCTGTCAGAATGAATACTACCACCACATGGTCTTCACAATCACACGACGGTTGGCCCCGACACGCCCATTTTGGAATTGACCATGTCGAGCACTCATGTCGTGGCGGTGGCGGCGGCGGCGGGCATGGCGACTGTCGCCTTCCTCGTTCGATGGCTGCAAGTCAAGCCGTTCATCCCGTCGCTCAAGATGGCTGTCCATTTGCACCACGTGTTGTTTGGTGTTGGCGACCTCTTGAGTTCTGTTGAAGGTCTCGGTCGAGTCACGTTTGACGAAGCCGACGACGACGGCATGTGCCAGTTCTGGCTCATGGGATTGCCATGCATATCGGTGCTCAAAGCGGAGCACGTTCGCGCCGTCGTTGTCGCGTCCAACTACCGGCGGCGCCTGTGGCTCTTGGACGATTTTGTCGACGCGATTGTCGGTACGTCGGGCGTCGACATGGCATCCTTGCTGACGCGTCGTGGTGTTGTCAAAGGCAAGAAATCGCTCGTCCAAGTCATGGGGCACGAGTGGAAGGTCCACCGGAAGCTCATTTCGAAAGCGTTTGGATGGCAGAACCTGGCCAACATGGCCCCAGTCATCGGGACAGTCGCCAGCGAATTTGCCGCCGTGCTCTTGTCGAAACACGGCGCCAACAAGGTCGATGTATTCCCGCTCCTCAAGCTGGCCACCCTCGACGTCATCGGTATCAAAGAATTGTCCCTGCATCCGACGTCTGACTCGCGCGTTTTTTGCAGGCGCGACCGCATTCGGCGCGTCGTTTAACGCGATCCACAACGCCACCAGCGACGTCGTGGATGCATTCACGTTTCTCTTGAACGACATGAACCGCCGATCGATAGACGAGCCACTGCATCCCGCGAGCTCGCTGTACTGGCTGCCGACGTCGGCCAACCGAGACTTTCACGCCCACAAACGCACGCTGCGGCGCACCATCGACGCGTTGGTCGCCGCGCGCTTGGCTCGTGGTGCGCATGGCGACGTGCACCACGATCTGCTGCAGTACATGATCGACGCAGCCCACGACGACGACTCGGGGGTGACTCGCCAGAGTTTTGCCGACAACTTGCTCACGTTTTTGTTTGCGGGGTACGACACCACGAGCATTGCGCTCGCGTACACGCTCCACTTGATCGCAGCGCACCCGGAAGCCCAAGCCAAGGCGGTGGCCGAGATCGACCAAGTGGTCGGGCCAGATGCGCTGCCCACGTACGACATGGTCCACCGGTTGACGTACTGCGCCGCCGTCGTGATGGAAGCCCTGCGGCTTTTCCCGCCCGTCCTGTTCACGATGCGAACGTTGGAAGCGGACGTCGACATCGGCGGCCACTTGGTTCCCAAGGGTACGCTTTCCTGCGTCCGTCGCGCGCGTCCCTCACGCCGTTGTAGACACCAACGTGATCTTGCCCATCTACTGGATCCATCGGTACGAAGCGAATTGGGGTCCGGACGCAACTGCGTTTCGCCCTGACCGGCACTTGACCGACGATCGCGTCGAGATGACCGCCAAGGACAAGGCGTTTCGAATGATGGCGTTCTCGGGCGGCCCGCGCAATTGCGTCGGCATGCGGTTTGCCATGATGGAAGCTGTAGTGCTCGTCGCGGTGCTGCTCCGTCAGTGTGCGTTTTCCGTGCCAAGCGACGCCCCGCCTGTGCAAGCCGTTGTCGCGGGCCTTGTTCAAAACCCACAGCATGGCGTATGGCTCGACATTACACCGCGCAAGGCACCGACTGCATAGCGCTTCCCGTCCATAGAGCTCTCGACCTCGTCCTAGTAGCATTTTGATTCCATCGCGACTCGCGGGTAAATACTGCCTCTGTCCCGCTTGGGTCGTACAGCGCCTGTTGCGTCATCGTCTCGATCGTTGGCCAAGCCAGGACGCCATCGCTTTGATGCTGCCTGCGACGCCGATCGACAGGCCACGCAACCTCCGTGCACGTCGCCGTGTTGGTCCGCCACGTCGCGAAGCACCTCGTTGCGGCCATGAC